CCTATTTATTTTATTTTTGGTCTACAACATGTCACCTAGTCTGAGTATGGTCTGGAGCAACTGTCACCCATACACAATTTCATATAGGCTTAAGCCACGCCTGCTTCAGGGAGCCACACCTGATCCCAGAGCAGGTCTGCTTCCTGGCCCAACTTGGCAATCGTTTTTTAAGGTATGATTCATTTTTTCTACTTTACCTCATAACTGGGACCTCCAGGCTGTATGCAGTCTCCATTTGATCCCCAGTTGTTTGTTTACCCCACGTGTTACTGCAGAAACAAAGCCAGGTCCATTATCACTTTGAATGCTGCCAGCCAATCCATGCCAAGGAATGATGTTCTTAGTAAGTTTTCATAACTTCCACCACTTTCTCTGTTTGGCTAGGGAATCCTTCCATCCATCCAGAGAGAGTATCAACACGGACTATCATGTATTTTTCAAGAGGATATAAAATCTATCTGCCAATTTTCAAAGGGGTACTGTACTTGGTATTGTTTAGTCTTTTCTCTGATGGGGATCTGTCTTTGCATTGTTTTTCTGTCAAACTACACAATGAGCTGTTGTCTTCTGTATAACCTTGGACAATCCTGGGCCAGTAATCCATGGCTTAAGATAATTATTTATAGAGTCTCTCCTGAAATGAGTTGACTCTGTACTTGGCTAATAATTGGCTTTATCAAGTGGACTGAGAGGAATATTGTCCCTTTTTCGTATTTTCTCTAGATTCCTGATGTAGTTTCTGTAAACCCCCACCCCAACTGAACAGCTTTTTCTAACTCAGTAGCTGAGTTCTGTGGTTCAATTTCAAACAAGTCAAGCACTGGGAGACCAGGTAACGTGGTGGCCTCTTTGGCAGCTTAATCAGCCAAGTTATTTCCTCTACTTGATTCAGTATTGCCCTTTTGATGTCCCAAACAATGAAAGACTGTCACCTGTTCAGGGACCTGAACTGCTTCCTATAGTCTAAGGATTTCTACTGCATGTTTGCTTTCCTTTTTATTAGAATTGAGCCATCCCCTCTCTTTCCAGAGAGAGCCATTAAGTGTGCAAAATTAAAAAGGTAGACCTGCTTTCTTCTCTGCTAACAGTCTAATGCCCATGTCAGAGCCATGAGCTCAGCTTTCTGTGCAGAAGTGCCAAATGGCAACGCCTTCCCTCGATAGTTTCCACTAACAGGACCACTGCACACCCAGTCTTCTGACTGGCTTGAAGAACATAGCTGCTCCCATCAGTATACAGGGTCCAGTCAGCTTTTTCCAGTGAGTGGTCCTGTAAATCTGGTCTACAGGAATAAGTTTCATTTATTATTTCAGTACATTCATGTATCAGAGGCCCCCAATGGCAGTGTGGGAGGAGCAGTGCTGGATTCAGTTTGTTTACCAGTTTAAGAGTCACATTGGGATTGTCTAGTAGCACATAACCAAACAGTACTTACCAAGAATACAGGGTGATTCGATATCTGAAAATAAAGCAACATAATTCACTACATGAATAAAAGAAAAATCATATGATTGTATTAAGAATGCTAAGAAAGCATCTGATGGGATTCAACATCCATTTTTTATGAAAACCCTCAAAACTAGGGCTAAATGGAAAATATCTAAACATAATAAAGGCATTATAATGACATAACCACAGTTAACATCATTCTTAGTGGGGAAAATTAAATGTTTCCACTAAGATCTTGTCCAAAGATATACACTTTAGCAGCACCATTCAACAACGTATTAAATTATAATTCATAGCTAGAGCAATTAGACAAGTGAAAGAAATAAAAGGAATCCAAACTGGAAAAGAAGTAAAGCTGTAATTAATTGCAGATGCCATGAAAATATGCATAGAATACCCTAAAGACTCCACTTCAAAACTAATAGAAGGAATAAATCATTTTTTGTAAAGAGGCAGGTTACCAAACCAACAAAAAATCAGTTGATTTTCTATATGGAAACAATGGTCTATAAAATGATGAAATGAAGAAAACAATCCCAGTTACAATTATAGCAAAAAAATTAAATCCCTAGGAATATACTTAACAAAAGGAAATAAGGACCTATAAGGTATTTTAAAAGATATAGAATGCACAAAGAAATGGGAGATATTCCCTGCTCATAGATTGGAGGAAATAACATGGTTAAAATGTCATGGTACCAAAAGTAATGTAAAGAATCAATGCATGCCTATCAAGGCTTCAATGGCATTCTTCAAATAAATAGTAAAAACAACACTAAAATTTATATTGAACCAGAAAAGACACCAAATGGTCAATGCAATCATTATGAAAAAGAGAACAAATGGTAGTATCACATTTCAAGACTCCAAAGCTATAATCACTAAATGTGTGTGTGTGTACAAATATATATATTATATATATGTAGATATATAGATATAGATATAGAGCTGAAACAAAAAGAGATACACAGAAAAATGGAATAGAATTCACAGCCCAGAAATATCCGCACATATATGGACAGTTCATCCATGACAAGGGAGACAAGTATATGCACTGTAGTAAGTGGTTTTGGAAAAATTGGATAAGCAAAACACTATTTCATGCCATACACAAAAATTAACTCAAAATGGATAAAAGATATGGATATGAGGCCTGAAAATCACAACATGCAGAGAAGAAAATATAGGCAAAATTCCATTACAAAAGTTTCAAGAGATGTTTTTGTGGATTCCTCTCTAACAGTAAATAAAACAAAAGAAAATATAAACATTTGGAACTACATTAAACCTAAACACTTTGTAAATTGAAAGAAACCATCACTGAAACAAAGAGAAAAATAATTACATGCAACACATGTGATAAGGAATTCATATCTAACATCTACAAAAAATTATTATAATTCAACACAAATAAAATAAATAACCCAATTTTTTTAAAAAAAAGTGGGTAGAATGTTACACAGACCTATCTCCAAAGAAGACATACAGATGTCCAACAAGCACATTAAAAAAAATGCAAATCAAAACCACAATGACCTTCCATTCTCAGACCTCTGAGAATGTCCCACATCAAAAAAACTTTTTGTTCATATCAAAAAGTGATGCTGAAGATGTGGAGAAAAAGAAACTCTTAGATTGCTGGTGGGAATGAAGACTGGTTCAGGCCCTATGGAAAACAGTATGAAATGTTCTCAAAATTTTAAAACTGGATCTACCTTATGACCCAGCAATCCCACTCCTAACAATCTGCCCAAAGAATACCAAAACACTAACTCAAAGGGTAACATGTACTGCTGTGTTCGTGGCAACACTATTTACAATGGCCAAGCTATGGAAACAACCTAGTTGCTCAAATACAATGAGTAAATCAGGAAGATGTGGTATATATACAAAATGGAAAACTATTCAACTTGCAGAAAAGATAAACTCTTTCCATTTGTGTCAACATGGATATGGAGTTGGAAGGGTTTATTTTAAGCAAAATAAGTTATAATTTAAAAAAACAAATACCAGTTAATAAAAAAACCGAGAGACTAAATAAGGTGTCAGATAAAGCCAAACTAGCAACAAACCCTAGAAAGCTCTGTAAAACTGTAGCTGCCCTAGAGGGTAGAAGATGCGATGGGCAAGAACAAAGTGGAGAGAGAGCATAGTGGACTATGTGTTGGTGGTGGGTACGGTATGATGCCTCACCTAAACAGGAAGATCCTATACTTTTAAAACATGTAACATTGCAAACCAATGCTACCTCAATAAAATTTTAAATAAAATAAAATGAGATGTTTCACTGGAATGGGCAAGTTGCTTCATGCCCCTTGAGGAGAAGGAACCACTCAATTCCCACCAGTAACCCATTGTTCTGCTGCAAGCTGGACCTGTCAGAACGCATTATATCTGGAATAAACATGCACCATTGGAAGAAGGGATAAAGTAGGGGTTCTGGTCTATCAGGTCCCACTACTTTCTGCATGCCTGAGAGTATTGTCTCCCCCAGCCAACTCATGTGGTATGTACAAACAGGTCAAATTCTTAAATCTGCCAACCTCCCTCTTTCCTCAAGGCCAGGTGGACATATTCTGTTCTCACTAGTATGATCAGTTGACTGTCATTTTCCCCCTGATATGTCCTTACTAAACACTGAAATATCTCTAATGAGAAAAGCTGTACTCCAAAATAGAATGGTTTTAGACATTATTACTACCTGGCAAGCAGGCTCCTAACAGAATACTTTATGTTTATACATTATGAACCTACTGACGTATGTACAAAATCATATAAGAACATAAATGTGACCCTGCATGATCTGACTACATCCTACAGGATTTAATAAATCAAAAATTTGTGTCTTGGGGCTCTGAGTAGGAAAAGTTGCCAAAGATTTTGGGAATCACTGTCTTAACCTGTGTTACCTCTTATAGGTTGTTGCTGTTTTACCTCTTATTGTTGCTGTGGCATCTGTCTCCAATGCAGCTAGAAAGCTACCAAATTAGCTGATAAAACTCCTTGCTGAGGGTTCAAAGCACATTGCAGAAAAGGGATATCTGAAATTATAAGGGCCGTGAGGAATGGAATTTTGGGGAGGATAATCAAAATAACATGATTGCCAGTTAGCCAGAAATTGAACCCACACCATAACCACCTACCAAAGAAAGTGCATTCTGCTTGCCTCCTTCCCTGATGCCAGAAGCTGCCCAAGGACCTTGAGAAGAAAATTGTTGCTAAGACCATCTGGGTAATGCCTGTGATTAAATCCATTCATAGCCTCTACAAAATTTTAAGATTGGGGGGACAAGGGCAGAAAATACTCTTATATTGAAGCTTCACAAGAAAAAGCTTCTAAGTAAGTTCTCTTAGTGATTAAAATGGAACCTCCCAATATGGAAATGTATCTTTTTCTTCAATCTCTCCTTACCTTTTGCATCAGCTTCAGATTACACCTGGGTTCTGTCCCAGCAACCTGAAAGGTATGTGTCAATGATATCTCAATTTTTTTAAATCTTTGATTAGCATGAACTTAGTAAAAAAAGAAGACTCAGCAGACAGATCACACATAACCATGTTTAATATCATAAAGCTTTACAGCCACATTAATGGATTCAATGTATTTCTTGTGGAGGGGAACCAGAAACAGAAAAATTCCTAAAAGACAGAGGAAATACTGCTGGCAGTGCACAGACAGGCTCTGGGATCAGCGCTAAAAGCCACAGCACAGCCACATCCTTGGGGCAGGGATCACAGGAGTTGACAAGGTGACTGAGTCACAGTTGTATAAGACTCTCATCGAGAATTCTGGATAAGGACAAGCAGGCATTACAGAAGAGCAAAAATCAATCTCCATCAAAGTGCCCTCAGGAGTCAGTGCAAGAGCCCTGTAGGAGAGAGACAGTGATCAGCTCAGGGACCCAGCAGAACACACACTCTCACCTTCCCTTGGGGCCACTGCAGCATCAGAGGAAGCTGATGTCAAGGACTATTGTCATTATTGCCACTAATGTCTGTGTGGAGGAGAAATCAGCCAAACAAGATGCACAGCACATCAGGCACACATAGATGAGTGGTAGGTGGGGAAGCATTTGTTAGCCCCTTCATGAGACGTAAAGGCTTCAAATTTTCCAGTAAATTTCTTTCCATCACTCATAGAAATTCACTATAAATTCACACAGGAATAGCCACCAACATAGGGCTTACTATAGTGCACATCATTCTGGTGTCTGACACCCAAGATGTGGCTCTGACTCCATGTTTCACTGAAAGATGCTACCAACATCATGGTCTAGCTCTGGGAGCTACCTTAGGAGGTTCCTTCAGAAATGGGGCAAATTCTCCCCTAATTCTTGATGCTGTAGCAGGAATTAAGCTATACACCAAGACCTTTGTATGCAGGTACACACCTCACACCCTACTTTATTTTACCTGTCCCAAAGCCCCCCATAGAATCAGGGCAGAAACAGTACCTGCTGGCGAAGACCCACGAAGTCCTACAAAAGGAATTTATAGAGAGAAAAGTCTCATTACTCATTACACAAATAGCCAACCCTTTACTCACCCCAAAGGGAAATGAAATAAGCAACCTAAAAATTAATTTCCTCCTATTCATCAACCATAGGGCTTTAACTGCTGTAAACTACCACAACATGCTCATTTGCTCGGTGACAGATTTCTACCCAGGCCAGGTCAAAGTTCCATATGGCAGGTGTAGACATCTCCATGCTGGGGTGTCATTTCCAGCATCACAAGGTAAAATTACTCAAAATAAATGAAACTGGTATGTAAAGAAAAGGGAGCCAATGATTCTCTTAAAGGAGGAAACATTCATAAAGGAGCCTGTAAGACAAGTTTGAACAGTAAGAAAGCCCTAGAATATACTCCAACTATTACATCTATGGTCAGGCTACCTTTCAGCCACAAAACTCATATTCCAAACTCTCCTCCTAAGTTGTTCCATCTCCTTCCATCACCAGTCCAGTCCCTTTTTTTATCATCAAGAGGAAAGAACAACTAAAGATAGAAGCCTCCCTGAACTAAGGGTAAGACCCAGCTCACCTTCCCCACTCCTCCATAGTAACTTACCTTTCTGGTTCTTGTGATGGATAAAAAGGCCCAGCCCCAGGAAGATCAGCCCCAGCACGAAGCCCCCAACTCCACTCAGCATCTTGCTCTGGGCAGATTCAGACTGTGCCCCTGGAGATCAGAGCCTGAGTGTCAGCATTTGCCCCATATCCACAGTGTCCCCATGGGACGTCTGAAGTTCAGGGCTAGCAGGGAAAGATAACAGGGGGACCTAGTCCTTCTTTCTGACCAATCCTAGGGCTGGACTCACCAATAAATCGTTGGAAATAGTTGGTAGATAAGCAAGGAGAACAACACATCCATCACCTCAAACCCTAAGCCCCATTCACCAGCCATAATAGTCTCTCCGGGCTGGGTTCTGGGGCCATGATGTGTAAAGTGATCTTTCTAGTATTGGAAAGAAAATGAGATTAAGATACTTCTGATGCCCCCACCAAGAGAGGTGAGTTAGTCTCCTGTGATCTCTGGCTCAGTATTAACATCAGGGATAAGGAGTTAGATGGGTGAACTAGAGAAGCACTATATTCTCTCCAATTTGTGGAACCCATGGAAAAAGTAAACCAATGGCCCCTTACTCCACTCCACAGTGATAGGGCTCTCAAGGCTGGGGTGCTCCACATGGCAGGTGTAGACATCTCCACGCTGGGGGGTCATTTCCAGCATCACAATTATCTGGAAGGTCCAGTCTCCATTCCTAATGAGGGAGGTGGACACGACACCAGCTGTCTCCTCCTGGTCATTCCGGAACCACCGAACTTTGACCTTGTCTGGGTAGAAATCTGTCACAAAGCAGACGAGCATGTTGTGGTGGTTTACAGCCTCCGTTTTGGATAGGGAGATGGTCACCATCGGTGCCGCTGAGGGGAGCAACAGAGAGAAAACATAGTGAGATGTGAGACCACACAACAAGCCTTCCCAAGGGGAAGAGTCCTTCCCTGGGTTCACAGTTCTTGGATCCTGAGATTCCAAGTCCATGGATTAGTGTCTGAGCTTGACTACTTTATTAGCTTAATTAAGTACATTCATCAGTTCACTTTTCAGTCTCAAGAGATAACAGAATCATCCTGTGGGAGTTACTCTACTGATACTAATTGATAAGGCATATTTCAACGCTAGCTGAAGGTCTTTAAAATTATAAATTCTCTACTATACAAGCTATTATTCATAAAATATTAAAATATAAAAACAACAAACCCAAACTTCTTTCCTCCACACCTATAGAAGTGACACTCAGGAGTGGCCCTAATTACTCACACTAGGACAGTGACGCTGCTTTCTTGTTAGTCCCCTTTTTCCCTCAGTAAAGGAAATCCAGCGTATCTGACTCTCCTACTGGCCATGAGGCATCAACACTCATCATGGACCCAAGAATAATAACATAAGCTGAGAATTAAGAATTACAGATATCTTATGTCCAAAAGGTAGGAAACAGTGACCATCTCATCCTTCCTACAAAGCAATGTTTCTCAAACAGGCAATATTCTGTAATCCTTAGCCTGTAACCTTAATAAAATTTGAGAGCAAGAGCACTTCTTAACATTGCTAGTCAACAAAGCATCTATCTCAGCTTTTAACCAAAGCTAAGCTTAGATGTCCTTGTATGATATGCTTCTCACAAAAAATTATATTAAATACATATAGTTCCATCTGCACATCACATGCCACCTATGTTTCATTCATTTGTTGATTCATTTTTTATCAAGACAACAAACAAATTTGACAAGCATTGGAAACTTAGAAGTAAGCAACAGACCAAGGTCTCTGCCTTTACTGAACTTTTGCAAACTATTAACAGAAACAAAAAAAAAAAATGTTATTTCAAAGTATATGTTTGAAGGGAAAGGGAACCTAAACAAACATTAATCCATGCCTCCTTCCTGTACCATCTCAGATTGCTGTTCATGGTCCAATACAACCCACCTCTCCTTACCTACTTTACACATCTGGGTCTTTATTCCTCCAGCCATGTTATCACACCTCCTTTATTCCCTTCATGTGAAACTATATTAATAAGTTACATGCTTATTATTTGTTTGATAGTGCATTACTTCATTATTTTCTTTTCTTCCCCTAGTATTCTTTTTACAGTCACGTGAATTTAACTACTAGCTGCTTATCCCACTCCATCCCATTGCTGTTAATGAAAACATTCCAAGTTCTGAATTCAGACACTAGTGTCATGTATATTCTTCTTTTAAAATACTCTGAAGGGGCCCTCCCTGGTGGCACAATGGGTTAAAGCACTGCATTATGAAGCTCTCCAAAGCCACTACAGCATGAGCTCCATCCTTAGCCAGGGAGCTGACCTACATGGCTCAGCAGACCTCTCCTGACCTGCCCGTTACTCCCCTCAGCAGTGTACTTCATCAATCTGCTTGTTCTGCTCCCCACTCTGTCTCTGGTGAACCATCTCACCTACCACACCTCTGGCCTGTACCCCAGTTCTGTAAGCATAAATAAGTAAATCTTTTTTAAAAAAAATACTCTGAGGTTCTTACGATCTGGATTAATAAAAATGTAATGTTAACATAAAAGTATAACTGGATGTCAGCAGGCTGTCTGGCCCCTCAATTACACTTCACTCGTGAGTCATCATCAGGTTTTCCTTGCTGGGGTCTCACTGGAATCTGGTCAAATACATGGACTTACAAAAACCGGCTCAACTTACACAGGTTAGGAGTAAAAAAAAAAAAAATAATAATAATAATAATAATAAAGAACGTGAGCTCTTGAGAAAAATGTTAGAATAATTTGTATTAAAAAAGAATAGAGATAGAAAAAATGTCAGTTTTCAGTGCTATTAGAATATGTGTAAGAGGCAGCAAGAAGTGTAAAATCAGCTAAAATTTATGTGACCATGTAGATAATTAGGGATTGATTAATCAGTGAAATTACAATCCCCTAAAAGTATCATTTTGTCCACCCAGATTGAAAATATGCGATGGTAGACTCAAATTGTTGATCTTGATCACAACTTGCTTTAGGAGGCTTTGCTTCCAGTGAAGCCTATATACTTGTACAAAATAACATAATGACTATCCTGTGTTTGGGAGGAGGTTTCAGAACCTGGTGAATAACTGTGGGCAACTTACTTAAAATTCTTATCATGTTAGCACCTATCCAGTGGTGATGCTAATCCCTAACTCTCAAGGGAATTGTGGAATTAAATGGTATACAAAAAAGCTGCTTTACAAAATAATTGTCTGGAAATAAGTGTTAATTAGTGACTATAATTAGCTTTCCAAATATCTACCCCCAAAGTAGATGATGATGCCAGGAGGAGAGAAGAGCCAGGGTTTAAACCAAAGATAACCTGAAACAATTTTTACTCAATGATTTCACAGTATCAATTTACTCTAAAACCTCAACTCTTCTTAAAATGCCACTTGTTGAGTTTTAACAAGAAATAAAAATTCTATTTTACAGTATCTTTCAAGTGTTTGTATTTAGCAAAACTATTTTTTCAGACCTTGCATTCACAAATTCTGAATTACTAAAATCCCAGCCACTAGAAGTTTACTTTAAAGCATCAAGCAAAAATCAAGAAGATGTGACATATATATATAAGATGTGACATATATATACATTTATGTATACAGTGGAACACTACTCACTGATCAAAATAAAAGATAAACACATGCCATTTGCAGCAACATGGATGGAACTGCAAAGGATTATGCTAAGTAAGACCAGAAGGAAAAAGACAAATACTGAATGGTTTCACTTACATGTGCACTATAGACTGACCATAGATCTGAGACACACAGCAGGGAGTGTGTTGGGAGGGGTAGGGAGAGGGCCAAAACAGGGCAAAAAAACGAGCACAGGGACTATGGGTGCTATGGTGGTGGGAATACTATTGGAACTATATACAAAGGGAGAAATCGAATACTGTCCAAAAATCAACAATATAAGAAAATAATTTTAAAAAACAAAAATTAAATCTCAACACAGAGAAAATATTTTTATAATAAAGAATTGAGCAAAACAGTAAAGAATAACTTAATAAAGCATTTTTTTTAAGATTTATTTATTTGTGGATACAGTACTGGGGTAGAGGCCAGAGGTGCAGGGGAGTTCAGAGGACTTACCAGAGACAGAGTGGGGAGCAGAATAAGCAGACTGGCTAGGTATACTGCTGAGAGGAGCAGCGGGTGGTCAGGGGCGGGTTGGGAGAGGTCTGCTGCACTCTAGATCCCCTAACCCGGATTGAACTCTCACTGAAGGGCTGCAGCTCACTTGCAGTGCTGAGCTTTAACCCACTGCACCACCAGGGAGGGCCTACCGCCAGTTTTTATGGGTCTCTTTACCCTTCTGTTTTTCTTGAGCTTAAGTGGCTGGGCAGCTGAGTATCTATATTCATTTACATGCACAAAGGTTTGAACTTTTACTAGGTGCCAGTGTGTCAGGTATTAGGCATACAAGACTATTAACACAGTTCTTCTCAAAGAAGTCAAAGACTAGTGATAAACACCTAAGAAAGCAGAAATTAAACGAAAGCAAGACGTCAAACTAGAATGTGTCGCTGCTCTAACACATTACCAAGTGAGCAAGGTGTCCTGTGCGCAGTCGGAGGGCTGCCCTCAGAGCACCTGGCCAAAATTTAAGCTTCTCGACCCTCAGGGCGGATTGTGCTGTACCGGCGCCCCAGGCAAGCAAGAGGGTGGAGTTTGGGGAGAGGAGACAGGGAGGCCTTGGGGGTCTGGGGGCACAGAGCACCGCTCAGACAAAGGTGGGGGCCTGGGGGCACAGGGTACCGCTCAGACAAAGGTAACAGGCCTGTGGTAGAGGCGAGGGAGTGCAGAATGAGAGGAAAGAACAGTAAAGTGGGGCCTCGCTGGGCCAGCCCTTCCGCTTCTGCCCCTAACTTCACCCGCGGCCGCCGCCCCGGCGCAGTCCGCTCGCGGTCCCGCCTCTCAGCCTCGTACTCTCCCGCCAGTCAGCGCGCTAGTGGGCGGGGACTGGGACCCAGAGGCCGCCCTCCTCGCCCGCCCTTCTCTGGGGGTTTCCCTGCGCGCCTACCCCCGAGAGTGGGCCCCGCCGAGGAGTAGCCCGGAGCCGCGGGCGCTCACCTTCCCGCTGCCAGGTAAAGGGGGCAGCCACCTCGTAGTTGTGTCTGCACACCGTGTCCGCCTCGGCCCGCACACGCTCCAGTTCGCCCTTCTGTCGGTTCCAGTACTCGGCGCTCCGCCGCCCCAGCTGGGTGACCGCGCGGTACTCCCCCACGTCGCTGTCGAAGCGCACGAACTCCTCGCGGTTGTAGAAGTATCTGTTCACACTCCGCACCCGCTGCGTCCCGTTGGTGAAGTAGCACAGGCCCTTAAACTGGAACACGTAATCCCCTGCGGGGAGTCACACAGGGCGGCTCAGCCAGGCCTGGGCCCCCCAGCCCTACCAAGCTGCGGCCGCTGAGCAATCCAGCGCTCTCCAGGTGCGCGCTGTTGGGGCACATAAACCTGAAAACCGGCTGCTCCACCTCAGGTTCTCCACCCAACCTTGTGGGTCCCTGTGGCTCTGAACCCGCCCTGGGCTCTGAGGCTCGGGTCCTCAGGCAGCTCTTCCCCAGATCCCTGCCGCCCGCTCTCGCTTTCAGAGGGCTTTCAGAAAGAACTTCCTTCCTTTGAGAACTTGGAGGAAAGTCTGAACTCTAAGGCCAAGCCCTGGGGTTTGTGATCTGAGCCGGAGAATTGAGTAAAGATGGCGGTCGGGTTCATTTTATGTCGATTCCTGTCTTTAGTGGATCAGAAAATTCTCACATGAAATTTCATTTTCCGTACGACTCCGGGGAACCTCAGAGCAAACAAGTGTTCAAGAAGCAGGAGATTTCAACGGAATGATGAAAAAGGTCTGGAATTAACTGCTTGCCCTCCCCCTTATAAGCATATTCTCAATGGCTGGCAAGAGCCTTCCTTCCCATGCCTGAGTCCCACTCAAGTCACTATTTAACCCTAACCCGTGAAAATGCAAGTTGAGACGTCCTGTCCATGGGCCCCCAGTGAGCTTCACTCAAATACTGAACTTGCCTCCCAAGCAGTCTACAGAGACTTGGGAATGTAGACCCCTCTTCCTCAAATACTGAGACTACACAGAGCCCTACATTTCCCGAGCCAGAACCCTATAGTATTTAGTACAATCAAAGTCAAAGGAGCCCCAAGTACCAAATCTTGCTATGTCTTCTCTGGAGAAATTCCTATCTTCAAAAATGCACTAATACGGATAAACCACACTCACGTTGCCCTGCATAGGTAGGAGAGCAGTTTCTCTCCTCTGCGGGGTAACATCTCTGATTGAGCCCAAAGGATGGGGAGTGTCCTCACCCTCTCATTGAAAGGTAGAAATGACAGTTTACATAATTTTTTTTCAAAAAGACGAAATGCCTGATTTTTATATAGGAAGTGTGTTCTGAAATAATAGAAGCCACCCTCCCCCCACACAAACACACTTAGCCCAAGCGTCCCTCAGAGTCTATTCTGGGGAGAAGCCCTGAACTTACTTGGAGAGTCTCTGCCCCCAGTCACTGGGGTGCTCAGCACCACCAGCATCACCACCACAGGAGCTGTCCACAGGCTGCTGGGGATCCTCAAAGCTGTCTTCCAAGACATAATTAGGAACAAAGGAGAAAGTATTGGTAGTCAACAAGCTTGCAGTACCTGGTGGATATGATGTGCCCCCTTCATACCCTTCATAGAATAAAACCCTGTGAAAGCCTCCAGTGCAATAAGATTGGGGAGTCCACAAAAAAGAAACCAATCAGCACTGGAGCTGCAGTAACTCATCTGTCTCTGGGCAGACATTTTTTATGAAGGTTCTCAATCCAATGCCTGGCACTGTGTCTTAATCAAATTTTACCTTTTGGCTCTCCTGGTGGCGCAACCAGTTAAAGTACTCAGTATGAAGCTCTCTGAAGCCATTGCAGCACGAGTTTGATCCCTGCCCAGGAGATAACCCACATGGTTCAGCAGACCTCTCCTGTCTTTCCCCTTGCTTCCCTCAGCAGGGTATTTCAGTCAGTCTGCCTGTTCTGTTCCCACTCTGTCTCTGGTGAACACTCTCACCCCTGAGTGGCTGGCCTGTACCCCAGTTCTTGTATGCATAAATAAATCTTTTATATAAGTAAATGGTTTTCTAGCAATTAAAACAGTGTCTGACAAATGTTAATAAAAAGGACAATAAGTATCTCCACTTTTTCTCTCCCTCTCTCTTTCCTGAATTTTAGGATCACCTTTTAAAACAGAGAAAAAGATATAAAAGCAAACTATAAGGAAGTTACCAGATGCTTTTTGCCCAGGAACAGTATTAATGGTTATAGAGCAATCAGAACAGTGCTGGCAAACGTAACTAAAAAACAAGTAGCTTCCTCTATTCTCTTCTCTCTCTTCCCTGAATTTTAGGGTCACCTGTTAAGACAGAGAACAAGATATAAAAGCAGCTTAGAAAGAAGTTACCAGGTAAAAAGTAGGTTGTGGCAACAACAAGAAGCTCCCACTGATGGTACATGAAGGCCTGGTCTGAGAGGGAAGCAACTCGACAAATATTCTGCTCCCAGGTATCTCACCAGAATCAACTCGTAGGAACTCTGTGAAGGCAGGCACTCAGCAAAAGGATGGTAGAAACCAGGATAAAGGAATGGTCATTGACATGGGTCAGGGTTTCTCTAAGTAAGTCTCTTCCCTGGGGCATCCTCTGTTCCCTTGGGGTGTGAACTTCTTCCGTGTGGGGGTTCAGAGAAGAATATCTCCGTGGTTGGCATCCCTGGAAATCTGTGCTTGGCCAGTGGGGCTGTGAACATAATAGTCATCTTGTCACTAGAAGGGATACTCAGGATCCTATTCTGCATTCAATTCAATAATCAAGAAACACTGTACATTCTGAAGGGTTCTGTGACCTAAATGCCACCATTAAAAATGTTGCCCCCGGCCCTCCCTGGTGGCGCAGCGGGTTAAAGCACTGCACTGAGAAGCTAAAGCTACTTCAGCATGAGTTCAATCCCTGCCTACCCCGGAGGTGACCACATGGTGTGGCAGACCTCTCCTGACCCGCCCTCTGCTCCCCTCAGCAGTGTACTTCATAGATCTGCCTGTTCTGTTCCCCACTCTGTCTCTGGTGAAGCCTCTCACCGCCCCTAAGCCTCTGGCCTGTACCCCAGTTCTGTATGTACAAATAAAATAAATCTTTTAAAAAAAAAAAATGTTGCCCCCAGAATAGTATCCTCCCTTAGTAAACTTTTACAAAACTAGTATTTTGGATTATTCTAAAACTTTATGACACTATTCATGTGTGTCCCTGTGCCCTATTCAGCTTTTACATAGTCATATGAATTTTTCATGACATTTTTAAATAGGTCCTTTCTGTTTGCACAAAATTATCCATTTAAATGGATCTGAAGTGTCAAATTAATAGGAGAATGACTATGCATAAGGCATTTCAGCTCAGACAGACTTAGTTTTCCCTTATCTATAGAAAGAAGACACAAAGGGCTACTGTCATAAAAAAAAAAACAGCTATAATTTTTAAAGCCCTTTGTAATCTATGGTGAACTATGTATACATTAGTATCTAATATTAGAGTTGAGGGCTGGGCTGGCCCATACCAGTAGATCAAACAGCCAAACAAGGGAGTTTATGTCTGGAAGGCAAATTTTATCTTAATTACCATGGGAAACTAGGGTGTAAGCATGCCTGGTCCCTGAATCAACACCTAGAAAAGAATCAGCACCATCAGCTAACTGTCATTACATTAATGAGACATAAACTACTGTATTTGAGCCTCATACACTTTGGGATCTATTATAGCAATTTGGCATATCTTGAAAAAAAAGTAGGTGTATCATTTTTCACCTAGAAAATGGGCAGATCTTAAGAAGTGTGATTATGCTGTCTCATATATTGATAATGATCTGAAAACTATAAAACTTATAGAAGGAAGTAGGGCTCTATAGATCAAAATTACAAATATGCACTTTCACCTAGCAAATCCAAGAATTTATCCTTCTTATACCTGACAATGTTTAAAGTAATACATGTATAAAGTTCTTTGTTTCATCATTATTTTAAAAATCAAACAGAAAACAACCTAAATGTGTAAGACTATAAGACTACTATGTGGCTGTTTTCAAAATGAGGCAGATATTAATGTTCTGATATGAAATACCTGTTAGATATATGACTAATTAGAAAGACCAGTTATATAGCATAATATGATTTGTGTTAATAATCGAGAGATAATCAGACTACAGCTGGGTTTTGCTTGTATATGTTTAGAATATTTCTGGAAAGACAGCCAGAAAGTATTAACAGTGATTGCCTCCTTGAAGGCACATTTGATAACTGGAAGTTCAAAGTAGAAGAGAAATAAACTCTCTAATGCAATGCTTCTTTGTACCTTTAGAATTTTTTTGTTATGAACATGTATTAGCTATTAAAATAAATGTAATCAAAAACAAACCAGAAAGAGTGTAATAAAAATAAGGATATAAACATTTCAGTTGTTACTCATGGACCAGGTTTGCATGAAATGGTCCTCATTTTCTTGTCTTAGAATTGTTAGAGATGTAGGACATGATCTCATTAAAACATTCAAGCTGGCCCTCGCTGGTGGTGCAGCAGGTTGAAGCACAGCACTAAGAAGCTAAAGCCACTTCAGCATGAGTTCGATCCCAGCCCGGAGGTGACCCACAGGGTGCTGCAGACCTCTCCTGGCCCATCTGCTGCTCCCCTCAGCAGTGTACTTCCTTGATCTGCCTGTTCGGCTCCCTGCTCTGTCTTGGTGAAGTCTCTCACCATCCCCGCACCTCTGGCCTGTACCCTAGTCCTGTATGCATAAATAAATAAATCTTTAAAAAAGATTTCAAGCTAATGATGATGCCAAATTAGCAGCTAAGTTATGTGTGTAGGGTTCAGACCTTATCAATCCTTGCCCACTCCTCATCCTGCCCTTGAGAGCAGGACCTCTTTCCACTGGCCTCCTTTCTTCTATACTAACTGCAGGGTGCTGACCTGCTTTTCATTCACATATTGCCTCCTGAGTCTATCAGCAAAATATTGTTATTTTGGAAGCATTTTATAAAAAGGCTACCTCCTTGAACACACTGTCCTAAGCTTTGTACTGATATTATGTCAAAATTATATATACCTATAATCTTCTTCACACTTGTGAGAATTACTTACTATAGTGTTGATCAAATAAAACACTTCTTGAGCCAAAAATTGCTTTAAGGAATTGGTAAGAAAGGCTAGATTTGGAACGGAATGCATAAAACTAGCAACCCAGACATACATAAGACCTGCAGGTACCGAACTCCTAAAAGATGAGAGGGTTAACTTGGCTGAAGGAAGGTATATCCAAATACAGAAACTTGCTTAAAAGGGTAAATTAAAAGTCACGGTGGGGGTGGGGGTTGGGGTTGTGTTTAAGTTTCCTCTCCAGTCAATGAGCATTTGTTGGGAAGTGTCACTTGTCTCTAGCAGACTAAGTCACTAAGTGTATTCCATGAATTCATTTTTTTTTCTTTTTTTTTTTTAAAGATTTATTTATTTGTGCATACAGAGCTGGGGTACAGGCCAGAGGCTCAGGGGCGGTGAGAGGCTTCACCAGAGACAGAGTGGGGAGCAGAACAGGCAGAT